AGTACGGAAGACGGGTGAGTGGGTGGTTGGGGAAATGGCAGGGGACAGGGCAGGGACAATGCTGGTAACCAGGTAACCACACGTTCAAGGTGTCGCTGCCAGTCAACTTCAATGAGCCGCTCAGCTCCAGCCAGAAGTACGTCGAGATGCTCGAGTACTCGTGGCTGCCGGACTGGGCAGCAGAGTACGGAAGACGGGTGAGTCAGGATGTACCCCCCCCCCCTTACACACACACATGCACGCACATACACACGCAGATACGCCCTCACAACCCCCCATGCACACACCCAAGAGCAAGGGAAGAGGGGTAATATGGGAAGAGAGCACAGAAGTGAAGAGAGCACAAAAGTGAAGAGAGCACAACATTTCCCTTCTCCATCGCCCCTTCTCGCTCTCTCCCAAGCAGGGCAACCGGCTGATGAGAGCAGCACACGTGGCGGCATTTGCAGTGTCGCGGTATTCGGGCAACGACGGGCGCATGCACAAGCCATTCAATCCGCTGCTGGGGGAGACAACTGAAGGGGACTATCCCGACAAGGGCATTCGTTACATCTCAGAATCTGTGAGTTGCATCTCTGAGTTGCATCTGTGAGTTCTTGTGCATCTGTGAGTTGCATCTGTTGAGTTGCATCTGTGAGTTGCATCTGTGAGTTGCATCTGTGAGTTCATCTGTGAGTTGCTCTGTGATTGCATCTGTGAGTTGCATCTGTGAGTTGCATCTGTGAGTTGCATCTGTGAGTTGCATCTGTGAGTTGCATCTGTGTGAGTTGTGCATCTGTGAGTGCATCTGTGAGTTGCATCTGTGAGTTGCATCTGTGAGTTGCATCTGTGAGTTGCATCTGTGAGTTGCATCTGTGAGTTGCATCTGTGAGTTGCATCTGTGAGTTGCATCTGGGTGAGGTTGCATCTGTGAGTTGCATCTGTGAGTTGCATCTGTGAGTTGCATCTGTGAGTTGCATCTGTGAGTTGCATCTGTGAGTTGCATCTGTGAGTTGGAGTTGCATCTCTGAGTTGCATCTGTGAGTTGCATCTGTGAGTTGCATCTGTGAGTTGCATCTCTGAGTTGCATCTGTGAGTTGCATCTGTGAGTTGCATCTGTGAGTTGCATCTGTGAGTTGCATCTGTGAGTTGCATCTGTGAGTTGCATCTGTGAGTTGCATCTCTGAGTTGCATCTGTGAGTTGCATCTGTGAGTTGCATCTGTGAGTTGCATCTGTGAGTTGCATCTGTGAGTTGCATCTGTGAGTTGCATCTGTGAGTTGCATCTGTGAGTTGCATCTGTGAGTTGCATCTGTGAGTTGCATCTGTGAGTTGCATCTGTGAGTTGCATCTGTGAGTTGCATCTGTGAGTTGCATCTGTGAGTTGCATCTGTGAGTTGCATCTGTGAGTTGCATCTGTGAGTTTGCATCTGTGAGTTGCATCTGTGAGTTGCATCTGTGAGTTGCATCTGTGAGTTGCATCTCTGAGTTGCATCTGTGAGTTGCATCTGTGAGTTGCATCTGTGAGTTGCATCTGTGAGTTGCATCTGTGAGTTGCATCTGTGAGTTGCATCTGTGAGTTGCATCTCTGAGTTGCATCTGTGAGTTGCATCTGTGAGTTGCATCTGTGAGTTGCATCTGTGAGTTGCATCTGTGAGTTGCATCTGTGAGTTGCATCTGTGAGTTGCATCTGTGAGTTGCATCTGTGAGTTGCATCTGTGAGTTGCATCTGTGAGTTGCATCTGTGAGTTGCATCTCTGAGGTGCATCTCTGAGTCGCAGGGTTGCATCTGAAAGTTAATTAGCTAGACTTGAAGATCGAGTTGCAAACACTCGAGTTGAACTCATTTCCTCACTCTTCCCTCTTCTCTTCTCCCTCTCCTCCTTTCTCTCATCTTTTCCCCTTCACAGGTGGTGCACTATCCGCCAATGATAGCCTGGCACGTGGATGGCACAGGCTGGAAGTTCTGGGGGACGTGTGCCCCAAGATTCGATTCTGGGGGCCGTCCATCCAGCTGGACCCCGTGGGCGTGCTGACAGTGCAGTTCGACGACGGGGAGACGTACGAGTGGAGCAACGTGAGTGTAACGAGTGTGGAATAAAAGAAGGTTCAGGTTACTGTACCTATGAGATGTCATCCTGGGGTACTGGGCGTGCTGACAAAGCTGTTTGACGATGTGGAGACTAGTTTTGAGGCGCCTCAAAACTAGACTCCTGCTGGACCGGGTGGGCGTGCTGACAGAGCTGTTTGACGACGTGGAGACTAGTTTTGAGGCGCCTCAAAACTAGACTCCTGCTGGACCAGGTGGGCGTGCTGACAGAGCTGTTTGACGACGTGGAGACGTACGAATGGAGCAACTATGAGCTGTGATTCCGGGGTTCTGGGGGCCGCCCGTCCAGCTGGACCCCATGGGCGTGCTGACGACTGGGAGACATTCGAGTGGAGCAGTGTGAGTGCGAGTGGTTCTTGGGGAAGCCGTTCCTGGAGCACTACGGCACGCCCCCCCCCCTACACCTCCCCCCATCCACCTCTCAGGTGACGGTGCTGATTCAGAATCTGATTCTGGGGAAGCCATTCGTGGAGTGCTCTGATACCATGTCTCCACTCAATTCATCACATTCTTCTCCTCCCCCTCGCCGACCTGATTCCCCCCCCCCCTTGCCCCAGGTGACGGTGCTGATTCAGAACCTCATTCTGGGGAAGCCGTTTGTGGAGCACTATGGCACAATGCGCATCAAGGGTAACCGGGGGTACTCGGCTCGGCTGCGGTTCAAAGAGCGGTCCACTTTCGATAGAAACCCGCACCAGGTACAGTAATGTGGTACACACACCAGTAGAAAAGCGCGCACTGGGAAGCTCACATCAGCACCAGAGAGGGGACCCATAAACGAAATGATTGAGAACGTTTTTTGTGCTCAAATTTGATGCATTGTTGTTTTGAATACACTCGCACGTTTCTCTCCTTCTCCCCTCGATTTCCACAGGTCCGTGGATTGGTGCAGAACGAGGCAGGGGATGAGCAGGGGACCCTGATGGGGCGGTGGGACCAGCACATGCACTACGTGCCAGGGGACCTGACGAGCAAGTCGGCCAAGGAGGAGAGCGAGGTGCTGGCGACTGCCCAGCTGATCTGGAAGAAGAACCCAATCCCACCCAACATGAAGTACAAGTTCACGCCCTTTACAATCACGCTCAACGAGCTCACTCCGCAGCTGAAGGTGAGTCGGCATGACTGTTCCTTCCCTCGGAGAAGTGACACTGGCGATGGCACAGCTCATGTGGGAAAAGAACCCCATCCAGCCGAACATCAAGTACAAGTTCACGCCCTTCACAATCACGCTCAACGAGCTCACTCCCTGGCTCAACGTGTGTGTGGCTTTCCTTGAGGTTGTTATTGCTGTATCTTTGCACCTCTTACCCTCCCCATCTCCACCCTCTCCACCCTCCTCACCACCTTCTTCCCCCCCACCCTCCTCTTCCACCTCAGGCCTGTCTGCCCCCTACAGACTCCCGCCTTAGGGAGGACCAGAGGGCACTGGAGGAGGGGCGATACGACTTTGCCAACCAGGAGAAATGCCGACTGGAGCAGCGGCAGCGCAAGGTATGCCCTGCATAGTCCCACTCTGTTGTGTGTGGGTAAAGTACACCAACACGTGATTCAAGTCGCCAAGTCTTGAACCAGGAACGCCTTTTTTAACCCTCTTTCTCATTCTCTTCATTCTTTGCCCGCCCTTGAGACCTGGGAAGGAAATTGGTCACGGTGTGTGTGTGTATTCTCATCATTAGTAACAGTGTGCTACCACCCCATGCCTCTTAAGGTAACTCACTGGGACTCCTGCTCCTCTCCACCATACCCCCCTCCCTTCCAGGCGCTGAAGGATGGCGAGCCAGGGTGGGGCCCACGGTGGTTCAAGCCCGCAGGGCCAAACAACACGTGGATGTACACTGGGGGCTACTGGGAAAAGCGGGAGAAGAGGGAGTGGTCCGATGTGCTGGACCTCTTTGCACCAGAGGAGACTGATGGGAATTGCTAACAAGCTGTTGAATCACACATTCGTTTGTCACATCCTGGAGAACGTTCAGGCGTCAATAGAAGCGATAGTGCGCGGTGCCAGGTTATTTCAACTATAGGTTCTTTGAAGGACAATACACTTGGGAGTGTGTGGGCATGCTGCGTCTGACTGTAGCCGTGCCCGGAATTATGGGAAGAACATATTAGGCACGATGTGTGCCTAGTGTAGGTTAGATGTTGACCCATCATCCATAAGTTGCAATAATTGCACAACATATATTTAGTATTTTACATCTAACCACAACTCTATGGGACAAGTATTTTGCGTCACTGTACAGACGCAATGTGTCGGAACAGCGTGGAATAGCAAGCATTGCTCAGTGGGCGGGAGAGTGCTGCTGACATGACAAGGGACCAACATGGCGGGGCGGTCCAGCAAAACGCCACTGCGGAGCAGCAAGAGCAGTCGTCGTCATTGTCACGTCAGCGCCACAGCAGGGGAATCACAGAATTTTCGAAACACGCGATGCTCTCTGTTGTGTCAGCTTCCGCGCCAATTCAGTTGACTGAAGAAACTGAAGGACCAGGAAACGGCCTTCGTTTCAGTCACACATCGGCCATGTTCAGAGGTTTGACGCATAGCCGTTGCCAGCAGTTCCCGCGGATGAAAACCCCCCATTTTCTCGTCCAATCCCTGTCAAGTAGACGCTGATGGCCCTGGGTTTCTTCCACCGACACTCCCTCAGGCGCAGCTCGGTTATTCGCGATTTATATGTTTCGGGAACGGTAGCCCTTTCAAAGCCCCAAGTCTCGCCACGGCCTGATGGTGGAGGGGGGACCCAACGCCTTCCCATCCCACCTCACCGCACCCCACCCCACGAGCACCACCAGTCCATCATCACCCAGCCACTGGCACCATTCTCTCAAGCCACTGGCACCAACCATCACGCAACGCAATGGTGCTGCAGATTCTAGCAGGCCCGCCCTTTTGTTCCGTACCTATTGCCGTGTGGGAAGAAAAGGTTTCTTCTTTTCTGGAAGGAGAGCAGTAGTGGAAGAAGGTTCTTTCCAGGAATCACCTCGTGCTCATGGCAGTTTCCGCTTCGTCCGGCTCTTGTGCTGCGGCCGACGCTCGGCTCGGTTGCTCTTGTCGTCGTAGCGTACGGACCTGAACGATTTTGGTAGAAGCCCTCACTGTCGACCTAAAGCCACGTTTTGGGTTCCTGTGCCCTCTTTCAACTTGCAGGCTCCTCGTGCAGACCATTAAAAATACCAAATCGTATATTTTTTCTCAGTTATTTTTTTATTTATTTCTTTCGTGTTTCTGCTTTTCTGAGGGTTTGTCCGCGACATCGAAGTCCTCGCTTAGTGTTTCCATAGACATTTTACAATGTCGTCGGATCCCGACGAGCCGAGCAACAAGTCCGTGAAGGAGCTCAGCAGCATCTTCGGAAAACGGGTCACGGCTAATACCGGAGCTCCAGCTGCTTACGTGGCGAAACTCCACGCAGCCAATGCGAGCGCAGGCTCTTCCGGCGACCCGCCAAAAATCACGCGGAGATCCTCTGGACCGGTTTCCACCGAAGGCTTAATCCGCCACCCTTCAGGCGGGATTCAGAGTCCGCAGTCTCAGGACGGAAATGCTTCGGAATCTAAGCGAGATTTTAAGGATGAGACTAAAGGACCGGTACCTGGCCGTTCAGGTCTCCGGCCGGTTGGGACTAGCACAGGCAGCGGTAAAGGCCCGCGACCATCGTCAGGCGATGGCTCGAAAGGTCCTTCTTCCTCCTCCTCCTCATCGTCCTCGTCCTTTTTACCCCAGGTTAAGCTCCGTCACACGGCGACAGGACCACCTGGAGGAAAGAAAGACGCACCGGCAGAGAAAAAAGACTCACCTGCGGGGAAAAAGGAGTCCGCTGCAGGAGCAAAAGACGCAGCTGCGGGGGTGAAAGACTCGCCGTTGGTGGGGTCGTCCGCTGCTTCGATCAGGGACGGAAAGAAAGAATTGCCGCGTTCGCCTCGGCATTCCCGAACCAAGTCTAGCAGCCGCGCAGGTGCCGAGCCTGAGCCGCTAGGCCTGGCTTCCCCTGGCTCGACTGCCAGGGCTGCTGCTGCGAAATCGTCGCCGGTGCAACGGTCGTTTTCGCCGGGCGGGAACTACACGCGAGAAGAGATTCGTAAGGTGCGTGGGGTGAATTTTGAGCCGTCTCATAATGAACCGACTTTCTCGTTGAACGGGAACTACACAAGAGAGAGAATCCGTAAGGTACGCAGGGAGGAATCTGCAAGAGGAAAAAGTGATCGCAAGAGGAAATGAAATGTCTGTGTGCTTCTCGCCCGCACCCCCACCTCCCCCACCCTCCCACCGCCAACCCTTTCCCCACATTCAACAGATGGAGACGATGTTGCGCTAGTTCGAGGAGGACCTCGAGTTGAGCAACTTCGAGCTGGCGGCGCTGCGAGCGAGGCACCACCCTATTGCTCCATTCCCCTTCTCCTCTCCCCTCCCTTCCCCTTCCCTCCTTCCCCTCCCTTCCCCTCCCTTCCCCTCCCTTCCCCTCTCTTGCCTCTCCCCCTACCCCTCCAGATGGAGGTGATGCTGCACAAGTTCGAGGAGGACCTGGAGCCGAGCAACCACTGCCTTGTTGCTCATTTCCACCTTTTCTCATTACCGCCGCCCCCTCCCCTCCCCTCCCCTCCCTTCCCCCCCCCCACGCCGACCACTCCCTCAGATGGAGGCGATGCTGCACTAGTTCGAGGAGGACCTCGAGCCGAGCAACTTCGAGCTGGCGGCGCTGCGGGCGCGGCACCACCCTGATGGCCTATTCCCACTCTCCCCGCCCCCTCACCACACCCTCCCCTCCTCCCCCTCCCCACCCCAATTCTGCTAGATGGAACAAATGCTGCACAAGTTCGAGGAGGACCTGGAGCTGAGCAACTTCGAGCTGGCGGCGCTGAGGGCGCGGCACATGGAGAAGGTGGGGCGGCTGCAGGTGGTGGAGGAGGAGATCGTCATCAGCGAGCAGCGCAACAAGAGCCTGCAGGTAGGCTCGGCTTAGGTTCGGAGTAGGTTCGGATTAGGCTCGGAGGGGTGCTGAGGGCGCGGCGGCTTCAGGCGGTAGAGGAGGAGATTGTCATTGGCGAGCAGCGGAACAAGAGCCTGCAGGTGCGTCGGCTGCTGGGTTAGTCTTAACCTAGGGATGGGGTTTGGGTGGGACGGGACTGCAAATGAGGTGGTTAGGGCTGGGAACGGCTGTAGGTGGGGGAGGAGGAGATCGTCATCGGCGAGCAGCGGAACAAGAGCCTGCAGGTGGGGGGGGTGAAGACTGGGGTAGGGTCAGGCGTGGCGTAGGGGTGGCTTCGGGTTAGGAGCTGTAAAGTGGGTGGGTTAGGGCTAGGAACAGCTGAGTACCTGGGGTTAAAAATCGATAAAGAAGACGAGCAAGTGCCTATGTCGGCGTGATGTGGGAATTTATTCGTGGGTATGTGATGAGATGAGTGTGTGATTCATGGGTATGTGATGAGATGAGTATGTGATGAGATGAGATGAGTATGTGATGAGGGTTTGAGGCGCGACCAGGAACCAGTGCTGTGCTGCTAATGAGGCCCCTTTAAAGGCATCAGCAGCTCAAGAAGATTGTTGCAGCCTCATCAACCTCTTTATGGGCCTCACCACCCCCTCCCCCTCTTTCCTCCCTTGTCCCCTCTCCTCCCCTTCCCCCTCCTCCATCCCCTCCTCCACCCGCTCTTTTGTGTCTCTCTTAAGAATCTCTTCCCACCCCCCCCCCCGATTTGCTTGCTCTGGCTGCTGCGAAGGAAGAAGGATTTGTGAATTCTGGTTCAATGAAGTGACCTTTGAGTCGACTCACAACTCATGGTTCCTACTGTGTCCATTTTTTAGGCGCCTCAAAAATAAACTCATGGTTCCTACTGTGTCCCCCCTCCCCCTCTCTCCAGGAGTTGGACTCAGCTTGCTCTGGCAGCCATGGAGAAGGAGTTAGCCTATTCGGACTCAGTGAGGGCGACGCTAAGTGCACTTTGAGTTGACTCAGAACTCCTTCTTTCTCTGCTCTGTCTTTTATCCCCCCGGTCAGCTTGCTTTGGCGGCCATGGAGAAGGAGTTAGCCAATTCGGACTCGATGAAGGCGAAGCTAAGGAAGAAGCTGGAGGACGAGCAGGCGGGTAAGACAGAGGAAGCCGTCCGGGCAGCCCTCGAAAAGATTGAGGCAGAGCAGGTGGCGCCGTTGAAGGCCGAGGTTGAGTCTCTCCGGGCAGCTGCGGAAGTTTTGACGGCTGACCTGGCGGCTGCCCGGGCTGCCCGGGAGGCGAAAGAAGCGGAGCTGTTGGGTGCGGAGGCTGCGAATGAGAAGGTTGGCGGGCAATTGAGTGAGGAAGAGGCGAATCACAAGGTGACACGTGGCGAGTTGGAGGTGGCAAGGGAGGAGGTGAAAAAGGCGCAGAAAGAGGCTGAAGAGGCGGAAAAGGTACTGGACGAGCTTAAAACGAAGCACGAGGAGGCTTGTAGCGAGTTGGAGGGGTTACGGGGGACGCATAAAGGGACGTGCGAGGAGCTCGAAGCGCTAAAGATAGAGATAGAGTCTCTTAAGGGGGAGAATAAAGAGGTAAGTGAGGAGCTGGGAGCGGTTAAGGGGAAGTGGGAGGCAAGGGGGAAGGAAATAGCGGTTCTGGTAAAGGAGAAGGGGGAATTGGAAGGTGAGTTGGAGGGTTTGAGAGGGAAGTATGAGGAGCGAGGGAGGGAGCTGGAGCAACTGCAGCTGCTGCATGATAAGACGAATAACGAGCTGCACGTTATGGAGGATGAAAATGAGAAGCTTCAGAAGGAGGTGGAGGGGCTTAGGGGCGAAGTGGAAGGGTTGAAAGGGGAGAAGGCGGAGGCGGAGGGAGAGATAGAGATGTTGAAAGAGAGTGGTGAGGAGATGAGTAGAGAGATAGAGGAATTGAAAGGGAAGAATGAGGAGAGGAGTAAGGAGGTGGAGGAGTGGAAGGAGAAGCATGAGGGGTTGGGTAGGGAGTTAGAGGAGGTTAGGAGTGCGAAGGAGGAGGAAATACAGGCAAAGGAAGGAGAGTTACAGGCGAAGGAGGAGGCGAGAAGGGAAGCCGTGAAAGAAGGGGAGAGTTTGAGGGAGAAAGTAGCAGAGGCGGAAGGGCAGGTGGGGGAGCTGCAGGGGAGGATGGAGGGACAGGCGAAGGAGATTGAGGGTCTGTCGGGGGAGCTGGAGGAACGCAAGGAGCAGCTAGCAGCGGCAGAGGGGCAGGTGAGGGAGCTGCAGGGGAGGGTAGAGGGGCAGGCGAAGGAGATTGAGGGTTTGAAGGGGGAGCTGGAGGAAGAGAGCAAGGGGAAGGGGGAGGCAGAGGCGGCTTTGGCGGCGGCTAATGGGGAGATAAAGGAACTGAGGGAGAGGATTGGGGGGTTGGAGGGGGAAGTGGAGGAGGAGAGGCTGGGGAAGAGGACGGTTGAAGGGGCTCTGGCGGTGGCTACTGGGGAGGTGGCTGTATTGGGGGAGAAGGTGAGGGGACTGGAGGAGGAGGTGGAGAGAGAGAGGGGAGTGAGGGAGGGGGTTGAGAAGGAGCTTGAGAGTGTGAGGGGGGAGAGGGATGAGGTGGCGAGAGAGAGAGAGGAGGTGGGGCGGCAGTTGGCGGAGGTGGGGCGGCAGTTGGCGGAGGTGGGGCGGCAGTTGGCGGAGGTGAGAGGGGAGAAGGAGGAGTTGGAGGGGAGGGTGAAGGAGTTGGAGGGGAGGGTGAAGGAGTTGGAGGGGAGGGTGGAGGAGATGGGGTTGGAGAAGGAGGCTCTGGAGCTGGAAAAGGCGGAGGAGGAAAGGTTGGTGAAGGAAGCGATTGCGGCGAGAGAGGGGGTTGAGAAGAAGCTCCTGGAGGCACGAGGGGAGGTGGAACAGAGGAGGAGGGAGGTTGAGGAGGTGACTACAGCGAAGGTTGCGTTAGAAGGGGAGTTGGAGAAGGTGAGGGGGGAGTCGGAGGAGAGGGGGAGGGAATTGGACGAGCTGAAAGGGAAGTATGAGGTCGTGATGTCAGACAACCAGGCGCTGATGTCAGCGCAGGCAGCGCTGGCGGGTAAGATCGAGGAGGTGACTGTAGCGAAGGAAGGGTTGGCTAAAGAGCTTGAGGACATGACTATAGCGTTGGAAGGGTTGGGTAAAGAGCTTCAGGAGGAGAAGGAGGGGCGGGCGGCTGTAGCTGCTGAGCTGGCAGAAACGAGTGCTGAGCTGGATGGGATCCATGCTGCGCTGGGTGGATCCCATGCTGAGCTGGACGGAGTCCGTACTGCGCTGGAATCGCTGACTGCCATGCACGAGTCCCTTCAGAAAGACCATGATGCGCTTAAGGAGCGGAATAGTGAGATGAAGAGGGATCTCGAGAGTAAGTCTGGCGAGGCGGGCGGGCTGGTTGAGGAGATCAACAAAGTGAGGGAGGAGAGGGATGAGGGGAGGAAGAGGGAGGAGGAGGGGAGGAAGAGAGAGGAGGAGGGGAAGAAGAGAGAGGAGGCGCTAGCTGCAGACTTAGAGCAGGTGCGAGGGGAGGTTGAACGGCTAAAGGGAGAGCTGGAGGCGGCAGGGAAGGAGAGAGAGGATTTGAAAGGGAAGCTTGCTGCTGCTGTAGCCGGCCTTGCAGCCGCCGAGGCTGCGGCATTGGCTCGGGAGGCTGAGGCCGCAGAGGCTCGGGCCGTACTGGAGGGGGAGGTGGACAAGACGAAGGGGCAAGTAGAAGCGTTGGAGAAAGAGAGAGAGGGGTTGAAGGGGGAGATGGAGCGGGCGAGCAAGGAAAAAGATGCGTTAGTTGCTGCCCATGCTGCTGCTTTGGCTGAGCTGGTTGCCGCTAAGGGAACGGTGGAGGAGGAGGGGAGGAGTTGGCAGGAGAAGCATGAGCAGGCGGTTAGGGAGATAGAGGGAGTGAGAGAGGAGGCGGAGGGGAAGCAGAAGGAGCTTTTGGCTCGGGCCGAAGCTGCAGAGGTTCGGGTGGGGGAGCTGGAGCAGGCTCGGGACGAAGCTGTGGCTTTTGTTGGGAAGACCCAGGCTGCTTTGGAGGCTGCGAATGAGGAGATTGTGACTATAAAGGGGGAGATGGAAAAGAGGGGAGGGGAAGTGAAGGAATTAAAGGAGGTATTGGAAAGGGAAAGGGGCGAGAAGGAGGAGTTGAGTGCAGAGAACGAGCGGCTGAAAGAGAAAGTGGAGGCGCTTATAGAGGGGATGGATGGAACCAAGGACGGAATGACTGCTGAAGTGAACGCACATGAGAAGACAAGGGAAGAGCTGGGGGAAGTGAGAAAGACCCTTTTGAGTGTGCAAGGCGAGTTAGAGGGAGTGAGAAGGGAGCTGGAGGAGAGTGAGGAGGGGAGGAGGGAGGCCGAGGAGGATCTAGAGGTGGCTCATGCGGCTGAGGCGGCGGCTAGGGCTGAGGCTGCAGCGGCGTCGGCGGCTGCAGTGGCGACAGCAGCAGCTAAGGACGGCGAGCTGGCAGAGAAAGAGAGGGAGCTGGGGCAGGTGAGGGAGGAGCTGGGGCAGGCGAAGGGTGACGTGGCGAGGCTAGAAGCGGAGATTCGTGAGAAAGAGGAGAGGATATCGGTACTGGAAGGGGAGGTTGTAGAGAAAGGGGAGAGGGTTCTGGTGTTGGAAGGGGAGGTCCTAGAGAAAGGAGAGAGGATTGTGAGGTTGGAAGGGGAGCTGAAGGAGGCTCGGGTGAGCGCAGAAGCAAAGGAGGCTGCTGCTGCTGCTGTGAGGGAATCGGCGAGAATGTCGGAGGGAGAGGCACAGAAGAAAGTGCAGGAGCTGATGGGTAGGGTGGAGGGGATGGAGAGGGAGAGGAGGGAGGGGGAGGAGCGGGAGGAGGGGTTGAGGGAGGAGGTGAGGGCGGCCAAAGAAGCGGAGGAGGAGGCACGGGAGGGGGCTAGGCTGGCGGCGAGTAGAGGGAGTGAGATGGTGGCGGTGATGGAAGGGGAACTGGAGGAGGTGAGGGGGAATTTGAAGGAGAGAGAGGAGGAGGTGGAGCGAGTGAGGGAGGAGGTAGAGAAGGTGAGAGGGGAGTGGGCGGCGGATGTGGAACGGATGGGAAGAGAGAAGGAGGAGGCTGTCGGGAAGCTCGAGAAGGAGAAGGAGGAGTTGGTGAGCAAGATGGAGCAGGAAAAGGGCGCTTTAGAGGAGCTAGTGAGGACGCTTACAGAGAGGATGGGAGACATGGAGGAGGCGAGGAGTGGGTTGGAGGAGACTAGCAGGAAGCTGGCAGGGAGGGTCGAGGATCTAGAGGGGGAGAGAGATAGATTGGAGGAGGAACGAGGCAGACTGGAAGGGGAGAGGGGGGTACTGGAGGAGGGAAGGCAAGCCATGGTTATACGAGTGGAGGGGTTGGAAGCGGTTAAGAGGGAGTTGGAGGAGAAAGCGGCAGGGATGGAAGGGGAGAGGGGGAGGATGGAGGAGGAGTTGAGGACGGAGAGGGAGAGGGTGAGAGAGCTGGAGGGGGAGGCAGAGATGAGGATGGCTGCGGCACTGGCATCGTCTGCTGCTGTGGCGGCGGGGGGGGAGAAGCAGATCAGACAGGCACGGGCAGAGAGGGAAGCTGCTCTGGCTGAGAAAGCAGCCGCGGAAGCGGCGCAGAGAGCAGCAGAGGCTGCAGCAGAGGAGGCGAGGAGCCGAGAGGGAGAGGCAAGGGCAGCGGCAGAGAATGCATTGTTGGAGGCTGGTAGGGCGAAGGAGGGTGAGGAGTTGGCTCGGACCGAAGCTGCAGAAGCTTTGCAGGGTGCAGAGGCAGCAAGAGCCGAGGCTGCCGAGGCCAGACTAGCAGCGGACACCGCTCTGGCCGAGGCTGCAGAGGCTAGGGAGCGTGCAGGCGAGGTGGAGGGGGAGTTGGAAGCGGTGCAGAGGGAAATGGAGGTGTTGAGAGTGTCAGAAGCAGCAGCTAGATCTGCGGCAGAAGAGGCCAAGGTAGGGGGGTCTGTTCGGCTGGCGGCTAGTTTGTGGAGAGCCAGGGTGAATCAGGGCAGCTTGGAGAGAAAGTGGAAGGAAGGGGAGGAGAAACGGCGAGCCAAGGATGCTGCTGCTGCTGCGGCAGCAGCGGGGGCGGCAGCTGCGGCAGCAGTGGCAGCGGCCGCAGCAGAAGCGGAGAAAGACAGGGTGGTAATAGAGAAGGGAAAGATGGAGGCGGAATTGTCTGCTAAGGTGGCTGCTGTGGAGGGAGAGCTGAAGACGGCTCGGGATGCCGAAGGGGAGCTCCGGCTGCAGGTTCGGGCGCTCCGCCGAACCTTGGATGCTCTGGAAGGCGAGGTTCGGAAGTGGAGGGAGGAGGCTAAGATACGGAAGAAGCGGAGTGAAGAGGCAGCAGCTGACACGCTGAGGAAGTGGCGGGAGGTGGCTGGGAGGAGCAGTGTGGAGGAGAATGCTGCAGAAACTGCAGCTGGTGCTGCTGCTGCTGCTGCTGGTAGTGATGCTGCTCCTTCTGCGGCAAGGATGTTTCCAGGAAGGAGCTCGTCGTACACCATGGCAACTAACCGCACCAGTTTGCCCTCCATTCCCACGTCAGGGGCTCTGGCGGGGGGGCCAGGCGATGCTAACGAGGTTATGTTTGCCAAGAGTGCGGAGTTTCACCCAGGTCAGCTGCGGGCGATTCGGCATTTTATGAGTGCAGGCCAATCGGGCCCATCATCTGCGGTTGCTACACCCCGGGGCGGACCCGCATCGGCTACAGGAACTCCGCCTCCTTCCCTGAGGGCATCCATGGGGTTACCGGCTCCGGTGAGGATTAAGAGACTCGAGGGAGAAGGAACAGGTCGGCGTGGAACATCAGGGAACAAGCCTGGATGGAGGAAGTCTATGATAGGATTTTTAGGGAAAAAGGCGGTGAAGAGTGAAGCGAACACCCCTCGTGGCACGGACGTTTCTCAGAGTGCCATCTTTTAGATCGGTTGTTAGTGTTTGATAGGCTAAGGAAAAGGGTTCGTTTTCATCAACCAGAATAACGGGAAACGTTCATTTCACGGCCATGTACTATCTGTTTTATTTGAGTGCGTCGCACAGTAACGGATCTTGTCCTGGCACGAATCAGCGATGCACAAAGGCTGCAAGGGAACAGCAGCAGCGAATCGCAGCAGCACCGCGGGTCGTGGTCGCACGTCGCACAGAGCGGGAAAGCTCGGCAACATCCATGCACTAGCTTCTCGACACGTGGAAAGAACTGTATTCTTCCGAAGTCCGTTCACCACAGTGCGCCTCTTCCGCAACTCCCCCCCATCACCTTCCCCCATACGGCATATGCCTTTGCCAGATTTCCGCGGGTCCCTGGTGGTGGGTTCCGCGGGCAAGATGCGGCTGTTGTAGTGACCAGGCGGGCGGAAAGGCTGGTTCTTGTGCCGAAAGCGGCGGGGGCTCTCCGCAACTTTCCCGCGCTTCCCGTGCTTTTCCCACTTTCCCCCCGCCCGCACTCCGCCCTTCTCCCCCCATCCCTTCCCCTCGCGTCTGCCCCTCACCAACCTTTCCCTCTCAGCCCAACGACTATCCCACCTCTACTGCAGTTGGAGCATAGTTTTCCGTGTTTTCCTGCTTCCAGCTCTGCTCTAGGAACTGTTAGGCTACGTCCTTAGAACGTTCTCCTGCAACGTTTGTGTTCCGACTGCGTGTAGTGTTCCTACCAGTCGATGCTCTTCTCTAGGGTGGCACAAGGTTGTAAATTACGTCATTTCCGGGGTTGTTGAGAAGTCGTGGTGTAGAGGCGTCCACTGCGTTTTTTAGGGTTACGCCTTCCATTTCTCTCCTGAGTTTGAAGGCTCGTCCAGAAGATGGCGGTACGTTTTTCTTCAACATCCCCTCATTACTGTCTCCCGGAAAGTTGAACCATCTAAGTGTGCCAAGGTCTTGTCTTGGGGTGTGGCTGGCTTCATCAATATCATATTCTTCGTCTTCGTTTCCGATCTGGAAACTCCCCCCCTCCCCACCCCCCCCTCCCCTCTCGATTTCGACCTGTACTCTCGCGACTCCAAGTTCTTCGTTTTCAAAGCCCGTCTCCACCTCGCATTTTCCGTCTCCCCACATGACCCGAATCACCCCACCGCCGTGTCCACCTCCTTGACTCATCCGTACGTCCCCCCCACCGAACTAATCTTGCAACCATATCCCCCCCCCTCCATCCCTCCCATCGTCTGAAATCCCCTGCTCCCCGTATTCGCGTTTTTCTCCGCGCAGTCGGAGGGCGGGATGCCGCCAACCGGGGGAGGTGGCAAGAAGGGTGGAGGCGGGTTCACGGCGCAATTTAGAGACGTCAGCTCAGGCGGGGGGGTCCCGGCATTCCCGGAGCCCCACAAGACGAAGGTCAACAAAGATGCTCCTCCTGAGGTAAGCTTCCCCTCCTGAGTTAAGTTTCTCCCCCTGAGGTAAGCTTCTCCTCCTGAGGTAAGCCACAACGAACTAAGATCTCGCCAAGGTTGATCAGGCAGCTTTCCTTGGGGTGAGAGGCTTCTCCTCCTGAGGTAAGCCACAACGAACTAAGATCTCGCCAAGGTTGATCAGGCAGCTTTCCTTGGGGTGAGAGCTGCCGATACGGTACTACTTTGCTAATCCCGCCCTAGGTATCGGACGCCCTTGAATTGGAATGAAGCGAAGACTTAGAATCGAATCTCGTGATTCGTGGTCATTTCCGGTCGTTGGACTGGACATGCGAGCCTCAGAAACTCTCTTGCTCGACACTGAAGGGATGCATGCACGGTGTAGGTAGAGTTCACTTGCGCTGTTTCCGGAAACTCAACCCATCAGCGAGCTTACAGGCGGTTTCCTTGTCCTCCATCACTTCCTCCTCCTGTCTATTCTGATTCTCGCCATTTTCTTTTGCAGTTTTTGGATTTCATGTTTTACCTTCTTTGCCTGAGCTGATGTGGCCTCTCCATCTCATCTTACTGTTTTGCCGTGGCAGCCGGAGAAGGCCAAGTGTGGATGCGTCATACTCTAACCCCCATAGCACGCACTGAACTCTGCAATCTCGACCTTCCGTGTGTGCTATGGGCGAAGTGGAGTGGTGCTCGTGCTGGCTGAAGAGACAGATTTTTGGAGTGCTTGGGCGGATTGTTTTGTTGGCCCTCCCAAAAGTTGATGGGTGTCGGACTCAGTCAAGAGAAGCAGCATTTGCATGGAGCAGCTTCACAAGTGGCTGCATTATGGTTTTGAAAGTGGGTCCTCGGCATGGGTCTGCAGGACGGCTTTACTGTCGGGATAAGTTGAAGATGGATGGAACACCTCTGTTACTGAGCTTGTGAAATAGGGGTACTTCCAGGGTCGATTGAGGGAAAGCTTCGGCAGTTGTAGGTTTGGTAGGAAACAGCACTCCTGGCTGCTACTGGTGAACCAAAAACAGTTGCTATGTTACTAGGTTTTGTTGTTACATGCTTAGCGAAATGGTAGTTATTAATTAAACATGCTTAGGTGCTGTGCTGTGTAGTGCTCGTTGGTTGCTTGGGATTGGTGATGTTGAGACTTAAATAAAGATTCCCATCGGAATTGTTCTAATGGGTAGGTATGTAGTTCACTTGTGAAAGCAGGCATTTATGATGAGTGTTTGTAACCCGCAGAACGCATTTTACTGTGCCAACTGTAAAATTCTGAGCCCGAGAGAGCTATCGCGGGGAGTTTCTGGAGTCCGCTCAGACCACGTTGCACCCTAGATCGAGGCACAGGTATCGTGGAGGCCCTCGATTCCACGTCTTTCTGATCCAGCGCGGACACACAGAGGGTCCCCGTCGCTCCGTTGCAGCCACACGACACGGTTCCCAGCCTGGCGTGGAAGTCCACGTCGCCCTTCGACGCGGCCCATGTCGAGCCAATCCCAAAGCGAGCCAAAAACCAATCCCAAGGCGAAGCCAGCCGCCCTTGTTCCTCCAGTCGACCATCAACAACCTCATTGACTGTCATTCGCACCATTTTGTATTCACTATTCATTGGATAGTCACGTTGTAGTGTGTTGCGTTGGGAACTATACACGGGCTTGGGACGTAAAGAGGCTGGAGAAGTAGGAACTACTAGGTTCTGCCGCATCGTGTGCGCCGACCGTTCTAGCTCGTGCCTTTTCTGGCTTTTATTAATCGCGCTGTGTCAATTATGGCTGTCGTGGCCTCGCCCGCAGTTCCCGTCCGCCTCGGTGCGGGTGTCCCCGCATCCGCGCTCTCCGCCACGCCGCAGCGCACCGAATCCGCCGTAGTCGCCTCTCTCCGCGAATACCCACGCGTTGCTTCCCGCGCTTTCGCCAGGCGTCCCCGCGCGCTTACCAAGCGGCATCCACAGTCCCTATCGCGGCGCTACGCAGTGCGCACACGAGCAGCGGGAGACAATGAGCCGAAATCGAATCCCGAATCTGCGGATTCCGCAGCACCAGCGTCCAGCCGCCCAAGCAAGGCCGACGTCCCATTGGCTGATCCGGTCGCCGCCGACGAAACTGCGCAGCAGCTTCAGGCCGTGAAACAGCAGCAGCAGCAGGAGCAAGCGAGCGAAGCTTCCCAGCAGCAGCAGCTGTCGCTTGAAGATGTTAACCCTGTCGATCTGGGCCGTCGATCCCGCCAGTTCCTCGACGATGTGTGGCGGAGATTGATCCAACTGGGCCAGCTGGCGCGTCCGGCGCCGCAGGATGCGGAGGATTATAACGAGCTGGTGCGCGGGGGCTTGGACGCCGATTTCGGCGTTCCGAGCGCGCAATTCACGACTGTGCTTGTAGCGGGGGCGACGGGCCGCGTCGGGAAGGTGCTTGTAAGAAAGTTGCTCCTACGCGGGTACACCGTGAAAGCGCTTGTGCGAAGCGCGGACCCCGAGACGCTCGAGCAGCTGCCACGTGCGTGCCAGGTGGCAGTCGCTGATTTGGCAGACGAGGCGGCACTGCAAAAGGCGGTGGAGGGGTGCAATAAGGTCGTCTTCTGCGCCTCGGCTCGCTCCGCAATGGCCGCGGACCTCCAGCGCGTGGACCACATGGGCGTAGTTAATCTCTCCAAGGCGTTCCTAGACTATAATCACCACTTGGCGCAGCGGCGCGCCGGCCGCAGCAGCAAGAGCAAAGCGCTAGTGCTTCGACTTAGTAAGGAGCGGTACCAGGAGGGGTGGGAGTTAGGGGAGGGGCGGACTATTAAGGACGATATAGACCTCCGGTACGGGGCGGGAATGGATGCTGAGTTTAGCATCTCGGAGGACGGGAGAGGCGTGTTCTCCGGATACGTGTTCACTCGGGGGGGATACGTGGAGGCGAAGAGGAGGATTTCGCTGCCGGAGGGATTATCGTTTGGCCGGTGAGTTATCGGTTGATTTTGTGACGACTCAATAGCGGGTACGTGTTCACGGGTGGGGGGTACGTGGAGACGAAGAGAAGAATCTCGCTGCCCGAGGGACTGTCGTTTGGCCGGTGAGTCTCGACGAGTCGACCTTTTGCCAATTTGAAGGGTATTTCCGTTTCTGACCCACCAGATTTGAGGGTTTGTGTTTCGCCTGGTGTCCGGACTTTTTCCTCATTCCCGTTCTTCCCTGCTTTCCTGCTGTTCCCCCTTCCCCCTGCTGTTCCCCCTTCCCCCTGCTGTTCCCCCTTCCCCCTGCTGTTCCCCCTTCCCCCTGCTGTTCCCCCTTCCCCCTGCTGCTCCCCCTTCTCCTTGTGCACCTGATAGCTTCGAGGGTCTAGTGTTCCGCTTTGCGTCGGACGGCAAGCCGTACTCGCTGGTGCTGCGAGTGGCTAAGGAGGGAACGCGGGTGGAGAGAGTGGGGGAGGAGGGGCAGGCGGAGAGCGAGGAGGAGGAAGAGGTGGAGGTGGAGGAGGAGCCGTACGAGTATGTAGCTGTGGTGAAGACGAGGAGGGGACAAAACACGGTGAGTGCGTGCGTGAGGAGAGAGGGAGGGAGGGAGGGAGGGAGGGAGGGAGGGAGGGAGGGAGGGAGGGAGGGAAGGTGTGCTTTGCATTGCCATACTGGGTGTCCTTCTGGGTTGACTTGGAGGTGGAGGAGGAGCCGTATGAGAATGTGGCTGTGGTGAAGACGAGGAGGGAGCAAAACACGGAGAGAACGGGAGGGAGGGAGGGAGGGAGGGAGAAAGGTGGAGAGGGAAGATCCGAATTCCCTGTTCCCTGGCTGCTGCTCCACCAGGGAAATCCCTGTCAAATTCATCTCCTTCGGAGATTCGGATGTTCCCTGGCTGCTGCTCCACCTCCTTCTTGGAAGTTAACTCCCACCTCCTTCTTGGAAGTTAAGTCCCACCTCCTTCTTGGAAGTTAAGTCCCACCTCCTTCTTGGAAGTTAACTCCCACCTCCTTCTTTTAAATTAACTCAACAAAAGACGCAGAGGGAACGAAACGAAGTATGGTGAGTGAGTGAGAGAGGGAGGGATGTGAAGAGGCACACCACTGTCCGCCTCCTCCTTATCCCTCCACAACCCCGTCCCCCCTTCCCCCTCCCCCCTTCCCCCTCCCCCCTTCCCCCTCCCCCCTTCTCACCTTCACGCAGCCCACACTCCCTTCCCGCTCCCCACCTCCCTCTACTTGCCCCTCCGCATTTCCTTCTTCCCCTAACATCCGGCTTCCCCACCCACCGTATCCCTTCGCCTCCTCTTCGTTTATCCGGCTCCCCTTCCCTCCCCTTCCCTCCCCTTCCCTCCCCTTCCCTCCCCTTCCCTCCCCGTCCCTCCCCGTCCCTCCCCCTCCCACCCCTACCCCCCTTCAGATCCGCGTGCCCTTCTCCGCCTTCCGCCCATCACCCCCTCCGTCCCGACTCAACCTTTCCTTTTCTCCCCCGCCCCTCCCCCCTTCCCCCTCCCGTCCCCCCCCCCCACACTTAAGATCCGCGCGCCCTGCTCCGCCTTCCGCCAATCACCGAATCAACCGCTCCCGTTCTTCCCCCCTTTCTCCCCCCCCCCGCCTGCCTTTTCACCCCTCCCCCCAGATCCGCGTGCCCTTCTCCGCCTTCCGCCCATCACCCCCTCCCGACTCAACCTTTCCCCTCCCCCCCCCCCGCTTCTCCCCCCTCCTCAAACCCCCACCCCGTCCCTCCCCCCAGATCCGCGTGCCCTTCTCCGCCTTCCGCCCATCACCCCCTCCCGACTCAACCTTTCCCCTCCCCCCCCCCCGCTTCTCCCCCTTCCTCAAACCCCCACCCCGTCCCTCCCCCCAGATCCGCGTGCCCTTCTCCGCGTTCCGCCCATCATCCCCATCGGACCCACTGCTTGATCCCAGCCTTGTCTCATCCCTCGCCCTGCGCTACGAGCAGCGCCGCGCGGTGAGTTGCAAATATGACATTGGGGGGTAATCGAAATGCAGACACGATTGAGACTTGCGAGGAGGGCACTGCTGAGACTTATTAATTGTGCACCGCACTCTTGAGTTTCACGTTCGCTTGTGGCTGCATTGCACTCCCATCCCTTCCCCTTCCCCCTTCACCCTGCCCCCTTCCCCTTCCCCCTTCAACCTTCCCCCGTCGCCCCTCCCATTGCCCGTCTGATTCCTGTCAGAAACCGTCTAGGTTTTAGGCGCCTCAAAGACACGTTCCTCCTTCTCCCCTCCCACTGCCCGTCTGATTCCTGTCAGAAACCGTCTGTGGCAGCGCCACTGCCGTCAGGCCGGGCGGCTTCCAAACTCGGAGCAGAAGGAGACAAGGCCGCCGCCCCTGCCGACCCAAACAGCTTCAAGCTCGCCCTGCAATACGTCAAGGCGTTTCCTGTGAGTGGGTGGGAGAAGAGGGGGAGGAGAAGGGAGGGGAGGGGAGGTGAGGGGGAACGGAAGGGGGGGGAGGAAAAATGGGGGGGTGGAGGTGGAGGGTGTCTGACGTTCTTGAGTCGACTCAAGCAGCTGACGTGAACAGCTTCAAGGCTGCCCTGAAATTCTGCAGCTTCTGCAATTCTTCCTCCGTTTCTGTGTCTTGTCTGCCTGTGCTTGTGCCTGTCTGAATGTGCAGGGGTAGGGAGCGTAGGAGACTGACTTTTGTGTTGGTTTCTTGCTCGGGTTGCCCTTTAATGTATCTCTCGTGCCTCGGTCGCCGTCCCGTGTGTGTGTGTGCATGCATGCAGGGAGGGGAGGAGACTGACTTTGTGTTGGTGTCGTGCTCGGGTGCTGGAGTGCCGGAGGAGAGCCGCGAGCGAGTCATCAAAGCCAAGATGGTGAGCGCCCTTCCTGTGTCTTCTTGGCCCTAGTCTTGCACATACTTATTTTTCACAATTTGAACTGCAGCGTCGGAAGCAGGTGGAGTGCCGGAGGTGGAGGAGAGTCGTGAGCGAGTCATTACAGCCAAGATGGTGAGCCTAGGGTAGCCTATTTACACCGCACATGTCAGGGTAACTACGCACTGTATACCATAAGTGAGTGGGGGGGAACATCAAGGCCACAACGGTGTGTTTTTCTCTCTCCCTTCGATCCTCTTTCCTTCAACCATGCAGGCCGCAGGGTCTCATCTGCGCAACAGTGGCGTGGGATACACCATTGCGAGGCCAGGGCCTCTGGTGGACGTGCCACGTGACATGAATGCGACCTTACTCCTTGTGCTTCTCTCTTCTCCAACCATGCAGGCAGCAGAGACCCACCTGCGCAACAGTGGCGTGGGATACACCATTGTGCGGCCAGGGCCCTGCTGGAAGAGCCGGGGGGAAGGAAGCTTCCCTCCCCTAACTCGTTGTGTTTCCTTCTCCTCTATTCGCGCCATCGCAGGCGGCAGAGACCCACCTGCACAACAGCGGGGTGGGGTACACCATTGTGCGGCCAGGGCCTCTGCTGGAGGAGCCAGGTGGCCGAAAGGCAGGACCCCTTACTCTCTGTGCTCTCCTCTCTCCTCTTCTCGCACACTGTCGCAGGCGGCAGAGACCCACCTGCGCAACAGCGGGGTGGGGTACACCATTGTGAGGCCAGGGCCTCTGCTGGAGGAGCCAGGTGGCAGAAAGGCGCTGGTGTTCGACCAGGGGAACAGGATCACTCAGGTGGGTGGCAGTGTGTGGAAGGTGGGGGCTGTTATTTGGTACATGTGCCGATAGCCATGCCGAAACTGGAGCCGGTGGGAGGAAGGCATTGGTGTTTGACCAGAGGACCGGAATCACACAGGCGGGTGGAAGTGTGAGATGTGGGGAGTTCGGTGTGCACATGTGCATGCACATACATGTCGTGCCAGAACTGGAGCCGGGGGGGGAGGAAGTGTGGGGTGTGGGGAGTCCAGTGTGGGCACGTGCATGCACATACATGTCATGCCGAAAAAGGGGGGTGGGAAGGCACCGGTTGTTGACCAGGGGAACAGGATCACGCAGGTGGGTTGGGTGGGTGTGGAAGAGTGTTTTTGTGTGGCGAATTTGTGGGTGGGTGCATATGTATGGCCACTGTATCAGGCATGACTGGCTACTTACTCCCCCCAATGCGCTCTCAGCTAATCCCATTCTCTCCCAGCTAACCCATTCTCCTCACCTATTAGTTTTTCCCCACCCATTATCTCCCCACCCACTCATTGTCCCCTCACCCCTCTGCCCCCATCTGCACCAGGGCATCAGCTGTGCTGACGTGGCGGACGTATGTGTGAAGGCCCTGCACGACCCCACGGCCCGGAACAAGAGCTTCGACGTGAGTGGGGAGAGTGTGGGACGGGGAGGTGTTGGGGGGGGGTGTGTGTTGGGGGGGGGGAGGGAATGGGTGTGATTCCGGGATGTACGTGGGTGCTTGCACTGTCAGTGTCTGCTTTGTGGATGCCTGTTCTGGCAGTGCCTGCTGTGGGGTTCCTACGGGCACGGAGACAAGGAGGGGGTAGACACGTGTGTGAAGGCCCGGCACGACCCCATGACCCGGAACAAGAGCTTCGTCGTGAGAATTTGGGGGGTTTGGGAAGGCAGCAAGGATGAACCCTTCGAACTGAGTCCAGAGCGCGTTGAGTTCCGGGCATACTGTTTTGAACACGAGTACTGTGGTGTGCAGCAGTCCTTGCTCATCTGTACCCTACATTTCTTCCCTCTTATCCCTGGCGTGCAGATCTGCTATGAGTATTCTGACAACTCTGGCCTCTATGAGCTGGTGAGTGCCTTCCACATGCTCGTGTGGTACCAGTGCAGTCTTGAGACGTTTCAAAACTAGATCTGCTATCACAAAGATCTGATATACTCTGACAACTCAGGCCTCAATGAGTTCTGGTGAGTGCTTTCCACATGCAAGCTCCGTATTCAACCGCCCCCATCGCTTGGAGTGCTGCTCTCTCGCTTGAGTTGCTGCGCTGAATTCACTCCTCCGTGGGAATACTTACTCTAACCTACACCACGCGTCCTCCCTCGCTCACAGGTGGTCCATCTACCTGACCGCCCTAACAGCTACCTACCTCACACTGCACTTGCTATTGAGCCGACTCAAAATTCCTCTCCCTCCCTGCCTGCCCCTGCTTCCCCTGTATCTCCTTCACAGGTGGCTCACTTACCCGATAGAGCCAACAACTACCTCACACCCGCACTGGCGCTGCTTGAGAAGAACACGTGAAGCCATGCCATGGGCATGGCAGAGAGAGGGGAGGGGGGAGAGGGGGGAGAGGGGGGGGGGGGGGGATTGGGTAGGTTCAGAGGCATAGACGAGGGTTCTCTGCAAAGCTGTGTATTTCAAAGCCACAAGGCAATGCCTTCAGGCCGGGGGAACCTTTGCTTGCTATCACTGCCTGTCCTGGACTGCCCCTCAAGCTATAAAGAGAGGAACATGCCTTAACAGTGACAAGGGAATGCCGGTTGGTTGATTTCAGGTGGCAAGGTGAAGGTAAGCCAATTACTGTAACATACAATATTGTTGCAAACTCAGTTCAGCACCTTCATCTACACCATTTTTAGGATTCTTACCAGTAGCATTGTAAGGTGGAAGCACTCTCTGCACTATTGTGCATGTGTATAGAAGGTGAAGGAGCAGTATCACTCAGCACACTAGTTTGCACTAAAAACGTGGGTGAATGTCTACGAACCAGGATCAGAAGAATCAAGTTGGATCAGAAACATGCGATACTGTTTCGTTACACACGCTTCTGTTTCCAATATTTCTAGCCAGCAACTCCTTGTTAGGACCCTTTCCCGGGCAAATCCACTTTCAGATTTGCGTTTCACTCTCAACCGCATCACACGGAATCATATCTAAATCACACTATTGTTTTACGCACATCTGGCCATCCCTGGACCTGATGAGAAGTGTAGAAACATGCTCTAAATTGCAAGGATATACAGGCAGTCCCGTGAATCTATACATCGATGGATAAGCTTCACAAGAAAAATTCATCAAGCAAAACAAGTCCAATGATAACTACCTGTAGCTTTACAAATTGGCAGCACATTTTACATGTATCTTTAAATCAATGTACACTCCCACTCATCAACCCAAACCCAAGCACCACTTGTTTAGGCGATGTTCGCGGCTCTTGACTCGTCATCCCAATAACCTTACTATGCCGCTCAAACCGCTCTATTCTCTCGTGCCTCTCGAGCCTCTCACTCCTCTCGCTCCTCTCATTCTCCAATGCCTCCTGCTGCAACCTCCTCCCCACCATCACAAAGCGTTTTCTCCCTGCCACGTCACCCTCCCCTTCCTTCCGTCCCACCCGGAACCAGACAGCGGCAGCAACACAGAGCAGGAAGAGCGGGATGGCCACCAAGAACCACAGCCAGCGCACTTGCGGCTTGGACTGAGATGGAGCAGCGCTGCTGTGGGGGGGAGAGGGAAGATGGGGAGAAGGGAAGGGAAGAGGCATGAGCTGGGGGAATGGGGAGCTGGAAGCAGATGGCGGCAGCAATGCAGAGCAGGAAGAGGGGGATGGCGAAACCTGGCAGGAAAGCTGGCGACTGCATAGGAAGCCACACTCACCTTGAGAAGTTGGCAGGAGGGGCACTGAAGGATGTCAGGTTGTAGGGGCCAAACACGGGGGGGAAGGTGCAAGCTGCGCTGTTGAATGGTGTGAGAAGCAGCCTCACCTCGAGAAGTCGGGAGGTGGGGCGTTGAAGGACGTCAGGTTGTACGGCCCGAAGGCGGCAGAGAGGCGCATTTCGTGCTGGTGGATGGTGGTTTCCACGCGCTGCACCGTGACCGCCGGCAGGAACGTGGTGCCTGCATAGGGTACGAGCCATATCTCCGCTGCTGCCCCGCTGGGACTCGTGCCCCACACACTCTGGATCACAACCTGTAGGACGGTAAGGGATGGGAGAAAGAAGTTAAAAGGTGGCACCAGCCACACCTCCGCTTCTGCCCTGCTAGGAATCGAGCCCCCCACACTCTGAATCACAACATGTGCGTTTGGTTAGGGCGTCCAGGGGGAGAGGCAGGAGGAACGATGGAGGGCAGGAAGAGGGTGGTGCCCACATAGGGCGCCGGCCACACCTCTGCTGCCGCCCTGCTAGGACTCGAGCCCCCCACACTCTAAAATACCATCGGTTAGACGTGATTGGGAATGGGGTGGGAGCACATCCTGCACACCCCACACATCCTGCATCCCTCGTCAATCCACTCTCGCCCACCCCATGTGTGCCCTCATCTGCCCTGGCTCCAGCACCAGTTCCCGTATCAATTCGTCTGTCAGCTGCCCCTCTAGAGTATCCAGCTGCTCACTCGACAGCATGGGAAATCTCAGCTCCATGTCCACGTGGCTGGCGCACCCCGCACGCGGCACACTCTCCCATACCTATCTCATACCGTCCAACCCTCCCTTCCCTCGTGCTCTCACCTGCCCTGGCTCCAGCACCAGTTCCCGTATGAGTTCGTCCGTCAGCTGCCCCTCTAAAGTGTCCAGCTGACCACTCGACAGCACGGGGAATCTCAGCTCCATGTCCACGTGGCTGGCGCACCCCGCACACTTGGAGGAGTCCACGGGTCGGTACGAGGGCATGGCGTCTGCCACCGCCCACACCATCGCCAGGTCGTCGTCACTGTTGCTACCCGCTGCCACCGCGTCTGGAGCTCGCTTGTGCTTGCTGACAACGCTGCTGCTGCTGCTGCTGCTGCTGCTGCTTCTGCTGCTGCTGCTGCTGCTGCTGCTGTCTATAGTCACATCCCTTGTGGTCTCATCCACGCCTGGCCCCGAGTCTGCTGCCGAGCCTCTGCCTGCCCGAGCCTGCTCGGCTGGGACTCCGTAAGGGTCCCGGGGATCCCTTCCCCTCCGTACCGGATTCCCTCCTCCCCCGGCAGGCCCCAACCCCGAGACTGAATCCGAACCTGTCTCCGAACCTGGCTCCAGACCTGGTTCCGAGCCTGGAGCGCCGGGTGTGACAATGTAGGTCATGAGCTGGTCGCAGGGGGCCTTCCAGAAGCCAAGGCGGTCGTTGACCAGGTCAAAGGTCAACATGGTGTTGCGGAACATGAGGCCTGGGGGCATAGTGGGGAGGGCACAAGAGAGGGGGGGTGGGGTTGGGGGAGGGAGGGGAGGGGAGGGTGTAAGAATTGACCAGTGAGCAAGCCATTGACCAGGTCAAAGGTCCACATGGTGTTGCGGAACGCCGTAGGGAAGACAAGGGTGATTCAGCCGTTGACCAGGTCAAGGTCAACATGGTGCAGCGGAAGGTGAGCCAGATGAGGGCAAGGTGGACTTGTACAAGGTATGGGTAAGACGGGAGCCAAACGGGGCGCTGGTCCCTTGCTGCAGGGGACGCCTGCACGCGTGCACTGCTGAAAAAAAGAGGGAAGACAGTGCGGTTCTGAGTGGTTCAAAGGTCACTCACCCCCTAGTATGGTCCCTTGGTCAGGGTTAGGGAACACCCCAATGCAGAAGACGCCTGTGCGCTTTCGGTGGTGGAAGGGAAGAGGAAGTGCTGTTCTCTGAGTGCTGTGCGTGCGCTTGCTGGCCTCAAAGGTCATTCACCCCCTAGAATCGTCCCTTGGTCCGGAATAGGAAACACCCCGATGCAGAAGACGCCTGTGCGCTTGCGGTGCTGGAAGAGAAAGCTCTCCAGGTCCAGCCGGTAGAGGACACTTACCCCTATAGATCACTAACCCCTATCGATCACTTTGCACCGCTTACCGCCTAGTATGGTCCCCTGGTCCGGGTTAGGAAACACCCCGATGCAGAAGACGCCTGTGCGCTTGCGGTGCTGGAAGAGGAAGTTCTCCGGGTCCAGCCGGTAGACAGCGCCTTCCCCGAACACCACCTCCACCGAGGGGAAGAAGGAGGAAAGCGTGGAGGCTTGCCTGCAGGGGGAAGGGGGGGAAAGGTAAGGGGGGGATAAGAAAGAGGAGATTCTCAGTGTCCAGCCGGTAGATAGCCTCCCCCACGATCAACAGCAGCAGCAGCAGCAGCAGCAGCAGCACTCACAGCGCGGTCCAGGAGGTGGATCGGAAGCACATGCCCTGGTACTGCGGCTCTGTATTTGTCAGCATCTTACAGCGCATTGCAGGCAAGCCCCCAGAGCTCCTAGGGTACAGCACTACGAGAACCTATCGTACAGGACAGCCCCAGGTGGCACTCACAGCACCGTCCAGTTCGGCACTCACAGGGCAGTCCAAGACGTGGAGCGGAAGCACATGCCCTGGTACTGCGGCTCTGTATCCGTGAGCATGCGCACGCCCCTGGCTACTCTCGACACCACGCTGCGCTTGAAGGCCTCAAAGAGCGGCGAGGGCAGGTACGAGAAGGTGGTGCCGCTGTCCACCACGACGCCGTACCCGCTCGCGAACAGCAGGGGCGCGTCCTCCACTGCCAGGGGGTCGCCTGCCACGAGGAATTGGTGCACCACCACCTGGTAGAAGGGCGTGCCCCTGGTGGGTGGGAGAGCGGAAGACAAACAGCCAGGTGGGGAGGGAGAGAGGAGGAGAGGGAAGTGGGGGAGGTGAGTGGGGCAGGTAGGAGAAGGTGGTGCCGCTGTCCACCACCACGCCGTACCCACTCGCGACGAGAAGAAGCGCGTCCTCCACTGGCAAGGGGTCGCCTGGCACGAGGAATTGGTGCACCACCACGTGGTAGAACGGCGTGCCCCTGGTGGGTTTTTGAGGCGCCTCAAAAGCCACCACCTGGTGGAACGGCGTGCCCCTGGAAAAACAGGGAGGGAGGGATGGCGGCGCCAAGGGACGGAGGGGGGACGAGAGGGAGGTGAGGTGAGGGAGGCAGGCAGGTACCATCCCTCCGTCCCCCCTCCGTCCCTTGGCGAGGGAGGGAGGTGCGGCAGGCAGGTACGACAAGGTGGTGCCGCTGTCCACCACCACGCCACACCCGCTCGCGAACAGCAGAGGCGCGTCCTCCACTGGCAGATGGTCGCCGGATACCAGTACTTGGTGCACCACCACTTGATAGAACGGCGTGCCCCTGGGGGTGGGAAGGGCAGAGGAGAGAGGGAGGTGCGTGGTTGGAATGTACACACTCACATGCGCATGGGGTCGCACCCTGCATGCTGCATCCCACACATCCCCCTCAAACATAGCCCCCGGCATGGCCCCTGGCATGGCCCTGGCATGGGCCCCTCAAGACAATGACTCACATGCTTCACCGTACACCAACTCACATGCGCATGCGGTCGAACCCCGTGTACTGCATCACGGCAGGCGCGCGGAGCCCCACAGGCCCCATGATCATCGCCCCCCGCTCCCCCCCCAACCGCCCTATGCCCCCCTCTCCCCCAGCCCCGCCTCCCCCTCCCCCTCCACTCCCTATCCCTCCTTTCCGCCACCCGCCCCAGCCACTCGCCCCCTTGCCCGCGCCACCCCGCGGATCCCTGTCCGCGGTTTCCGCTGCGCCTCCCCCTCCGCCGTAGCAGATGGAAAAGACCTCCGCGGCTACTGCGCGCGCGCCCACGAGTTGCGCCAGCAGGCTGTAGGCCCCCCGGCCCAGCCCTAGCACGCCGTCCGCCGTCTGGCGGGATAGCGCGCCCGTTTCCGCCTCCGCGCACCCGAACAGAACGCGCGGAAGGGGGGAAACGGGGGCCGGGATGGGGGAATGGACTTGCGCGGAAGTGGGGGAGAACGAGGAAGAAGCGGAAGCGGAGGAGGAAATGGAGGAAGCTTGCGCAGGGGCAGAGGGGGAAGGGGGAGAAGAAGAGGATGAGGCGGAAGCGGCGGAAGGAGAGGGGGAAAACGGCCACCACCACCAGGAAAAGAACGAGAAGTTGGAAGAAGCGGAAGGCGGGGAGAAGGAGCGGGCGGAAGAGCGCTCCTCACTGGCGGAGGCGGCGGAAGAGCCGCCGGCGGAGGGCGCGAGAGGGGGAGGGGAGAAGGAGATGAGGTCGGAGGAGAGGAAGCCGTCGCTGGTGCTCTGCTCCGCGTATCTCCGCGAGTACGCGCACCGCTGCTGGCGGTCGCAGCGGTGCCCCGCGCAGGGGGCCGCGCGGCAGGCCACGGGGAGGTAGGAGGAGGAGGCGGCGGGGGAATAGGGGGGATTCTGCGGAGGGTGGATGGGGGGGAAGGGGGAGTGGAATTGGGGATAAGAGTCAGGCGGATGGCCCATAAAATATCCTTCTACTGCGCACGCGTTACCTTGCAACCATAGCACTAGTCGCGCCTTACCTGGTAACCCTAGCATTGCTTTCCTTCCGAAGTTATAACGACGCTCGATGTCCACCATGAGAGAAGTCGGGCGGCAATGTTACATGTTAACCCTATCACCCACCCCAGCCTAACCATGAGAGAAATTGGGCGGCAACGCTACATGATAACCCGATCACCCCCCCCAGCCTTACCATGTGTGCACCGCAGGGCGAGCAGGAGGCACAGGGCACGATGGTCAACGCGCTACGAGTATCAACCATGAGAGAAAACTTGTAAGGCGGCGAACCCGAAGGTAACATGGTAACCCTAACACTCCCTCAAAACTCACCATATGAGCACCGCACGGCGAGCAGGAGGCGCATGGCACGATGGTGAGCGCGCTGCCGGTGTCAACCATGAGAGAAAACTTGCGCGGCGGCGACCCGATCCACACGTCCACGGAGTAATAACTGGGAGCAAGCGGAGGAGGGGGAGGGGGGGAAAGGGGGGGGGTTGGTGTACGGGAGCAGGGAGGTAATGCGCTTGGGATGGAAGAGGCTAGACGGCGAAACACAAGGGATGGTAGGATGCGCGGAAAGCCATGGAAGTACCGTGATGGTCATGAAAAGGAGGCGTTAGGGTTTCGCGACAAGACCATGGCGGCCTGATGGCTAAACCAACAAAGTACGTGCTTCCAACTCTTACACCGTGGTTTTCGTGCTTATCGCATTTCACACTCCCGCAGCAGACGTACCCGTCAGTGCGGATGCTTCCATGAAGCCGCGATTGCATCTCCGTCAGCCCACGTGGCGACATCTGGTCCGTCGGATTGGGCTCGAAGGGAACAGCGCCTGAAAAATGCAGAACGGATATGACCGGCGGGGGCCATCTAGTGTCGTTTTCGTGCAGCGATCGCACAAGCCTGGAGGATTGCAACGGTTGTGACGAGGTTCGGGACGAGCCTCGTGAAGAGGCTCGGACGTATTTTACGGAGGTTGGTCGATGGGTATGATGAGAGATGTGGAAGGAGAATGAATCTACGCGCGATACGAGGGTGGCTATTATTAGGAAGACAATGAATGAAGAAATTAAGAAAGTCCGGGGACGTTTCGCGCTGAGCAAAAATATAACTACAAGTTTCCGTCTTCGTAGATGATCGGAAGCCATGGCTGGAGATTGTGGACAAACTGTGACTAACCCTAACTCGTCATGGACTTGTCATTATTCTCGCGGTCGAACACCGACGGGTGCGATGCTGTCACTTGATGGTCGGCATCTAAAACATAATCTACGCCGAACAAGGAACCAAGTCGATAGAATCACTGTAGTCTAGTCAACTTAATCGCTAGGATCGTGTAATTACTAACATCCCTATCCACGAAGCTAACGCTGACGCTGACGTCCTTAACCTAACAGCTCTGACGTGTGACGGGTTAGGAGAACCTGCCGAGAATGGTAAGGAAGGAGCAAACGTACGTCATCGACTGTCAGTGCCTTTTACAGTCCAGAGCGTATTTTCGCAAAACCAACTTGTGACGTTGGGGGTTCAATAGCACGATATGGTGAACTCATATACTCCTGGGAGTGAACAAGCTGGAGCCTCTTGAAGTCCCCAACTCTCTGAAAGAAACTTCTATTCGTGACTCGAGAATACGCCCTCGAAGACAAGCTGCACTTCTCACCCAGTTCCCCAAACCCCAGCTAGTGTAGCTCCCCTCCCCAGCTCCTCACTTCAGCGTGGCTCCTTGTTGCTGCCGTGCTGACCACTGCTGGGGCTCCATTATTGGTCAGTCCGCGTTATACGGGGTGCTCGGTTTTATGGGCTGCGATACAGTGCCCGTTTTACCCGGGGCGGCCGTAGCAGAGTTACGAGACACTGCCTGCCTGTTGCGTGTAATCTTCCCGGCTAGGCTGGAAACTTTTGTTCTTCCCTTCCCGTTGGGACTAAAACGGAAGTGGCTGGGCAGGTTGATTCAATTCAGTATTTAGCGAACGCAGCCTCTGGCAGGCAGGCATGGCTGAAAGTGACGGAGGGACTTTAGGTTTGGGACTCGGAAGCGCGAGGGGATAACCGAGGCGGCGGCTTTGTGGCCCGGCAGCGCAGGTTTGCCCGAGTTTGGTTTGGGAGGCCCAGACAAGGAAGGCGACTCGTATGGGATAAAGGGTAGGCCCCGGTTTGCTACGGACCTGGAGCGTATTCTGGAGCTCGTGTCTGACGCTAGTGTCATACGGGAACACCCGAGGTGGGAAATAAATTGCCCCGGGTCTTACGACTCATGACGGCTGTTTGACTAGAAACACACCGCCCGCAGATAAACCTACCAGGCTACAACATCGCCCGCCAATGTACACCTCCCAAGTTGCTTTCGCGACAACTCTGTGCGGTTTTTCTCCACTTGGTCAACTCGTTTTGCGACTTTCTGCACCTCTGTAGGCGCACGACCGTCAAAGTAACTAGTCCCAGGGCTGATCCTCAACCCCGCGGCTCCTTCGACCGCGGGTCAGCCTCGGATCTTCCCGAGCTGCAGAATCATTCTTAGGGCACTGAACGGGTCAGCTACACGGCTCTCGCTAAGCCTAGGGTATTCCGTTAGGTCACGGAATCGCCCCCAAAATTACCCGTTAGCGGACGGAATCGCCGAAAAATTACCCCTTAGCATAAGGATTCGTCGAAAACAAATGGCCTTCACCACGGCTAAGGAAACCTCGAGCGGTTTGGAAGTTGGGGAAACTGTAATGGGGGTTAGGAAGGGGTGTTACACCGCTACGAACAGACCTCCTACTACAAGTGCATTTCGTACGGAATTAAAGAAAAGTAATCCGTAATCTCAAGGAATCACACGAAAAGTAATCCGTAAGGAGGCGGAATCAAGAAAACATCATTATGCAAAACAGCGGAATCAAGTTGTAAAAAACTCTTAATTTCTCGACATTAAGGGTGATTACTATTTTAGCCAGAGCCCTGGCAGGTAAAGCGGTATGGTCAGGCTCGATGGCAGAAGAACGAACGACGTGGTTCGGGAAACTGTAGCCGCCGTCACCCTGCACCTGCAGATTACCTTGCGCGGGCTTTCGTCACAGCTAGAGAGTTACATGTTACTTTCGCCAACTCCTCGAAAGTCGTCAGCCACCATTGGCTGCAACGTGTGCATACCTTCCAGGTCAGATTGTGTCAGCGCACATCCCACTTTCTGTGATCCACATGCCATTTGACTCGGACCAGCTCCAAACCACACGGCACGACGTGGACCCCCAGCCTCCAGGACAGCCGGTAGCCTCCCGCAAACTTGGAAGAAAGCAGGTACAGTGCAGTACTGTATTGTGGGACGTATGTCCTCGATAAAGACATGGATACATGCGAGTTCGCCAATAACTCAGATCAGTTGATAACAGACTTGTTCCACCACACTATCCAGGAATGCAGAACGAATCCATGGATGGCATCACATGATGAATTTAAAGACAAAACCGTACGTAACTGCTAAGCAAACAAAAAAGAAGCATGCATAAGCTTATTTACCCATAATATCGAGTCAAAACTCTATGTGGAGCTTCGCAATTGAATCCTACAGACGTCCTTTGGTAGGGTAGGCTCATCACAGGCCAAGGAGAGGTAAAGGGCCTGCCCTCATTCAGCTTTAACCTCTTGGAATTCTCTTTGCACCCCTCATCCCCGTTCTTATCACTCCCAGAAGGGAACTTGCCTTGGAAAACGCGAGCATCCATATGCTGCTCCACATTACCATAAGAGCAGGCAAGGTGCAACTCCACATCCACTTGCCCATCATCCATAGCCCCACTCCCCTCGTTATGGTCTGCAGCAGCTGTCCTCAGTAAGAGCTGCTCCACCGTATCGTCGCGGTGCTCAGTTACACCACTGTTGCTGCGGGAGATATCATGACCCACCTCGTCCGCATTCACACAGCCTTCCAGGCCCGACTCCTTGCCATTGCCACCCACACCCATGAAATCTCTGAACTCGAAAGCATCTTCTTCAGATGAAGCTCTGTAATCAGGTGGTACGCCACTGCAAGGCAGGCGGACGTCATCACCCGCATTTTTAACGAGAACGGGTCTTGTGTGAGGAGTGGGAATGGCAGAGGAGCATTCTGCAGCAACCGAGCTGCAATTCTCGGCATCAGCAGCAGTCCACGCCCCAGTACTAGCAACAGTTGCCGGGCTGACGTCCGCAGCAGCAGTCCAAGGGTTAGTATCCGCAGCAACAGATGGGCTGACATCAGCAACAGTCACTAGCTTGACATCACCAGCAGCAGTCGCAGGGCTCAGAGGGCTGACACCATCATCCGCAACAACAAACGGGCTGACACCAACAGCAGCAGCATCCTCCCCGCTGCGTGGAACCCTCCGCCCCTTATAATCGCGCACAGCGACCCGCTCCCTCTCCCCCTCCAGAGGATGGTTGTGGTCGTCGAGGTACTCCACGGTGACGGCGGTGAGGTCGAAGGGGCGCAGCGGGTGCGAGTTCACCACCTTGCGCGCGGGGCAGGGCGCGGAGCCTGCCGAGCGGTGATGTGGCGAGCTGGCGGCACATCGGTAGTACGCCCTGAGGGGGAGGGGAGGAGAGAGGGATAGGGGGGAGAGACGAGAGTGAGGGGGCGGGACGAGTTGAGAGAGCAAAGTTGACGTCGTGAAAGGGGGACCTGGGGAGTAACTGCATAGGGAGAAAATGGGCAAGTGTCGGAGCTCGCGCAGGCTTTTAGCTCTGGGCCGTAATTACCTGCGCTGGCCGCCGTTCTTGGTGCTCAGCTTCTTCGCGCCGTACTTGAGCCACCGGTACCCGTCCGCGGTCACCAGCTCCGCCAGTCCGCGTGACCACTGGTGCTGCTCCCACGCCGCCGCTGCCGCTGCCGCCGTCGCTCCCGCCGTCGCCCCCCCTGTTACCGCGTGTTCTTCCGCCGGCCGAGGGCTATCGCCGCCTCCGCTGGAGCTTCCGCCAGAGCTTGCGCCGTCGTCCGCGGAGCCAATGCTCCCGCGGCGGCGAGCGGCTGCGGCAGTGGCGGCAGGCGGCGCGCTCGCGTTAGTAGCCGCGCTTTTGTGATTCACCAGATTAGTGTCCGCGTTAGGTCTCTTGAGGCCCCTCCTAGGGGAACCCGTAACGTCGGCGGCGGAGAGATTGATTTCCCCACCCGCGGACGGGCGACGCGTTAAGGGCTGACGCGTTGCGGGGTGGTGACCAGCTGCCGGGGGGAGCGGCTGGAAAGCGGGCGGCTGCGGAATCGAGGGATGGTTGGAATACGGCTGACCGTCGCCGCTGCGATTCGTACCGCAGCCGTCCCCGGCGACCTCGCAGCTTCGATCTCTGCCGTCCCCGGCGATTCCACCTCGCTGGAAGCGCGGCACGCCTTGAGCCGCCGCCAGAAGCTGGATTTGGCGCACCATTTCCGGCGTCATTTGTGGGATCCACTCGGAAGTCATCTGCGTCCTTTGCGTCATTTGCGGAATCATGTCAGGCGTCCCTTGCGGGATGATCATGATATTCGGAGTCTGCGATGCGGACTGCGCCGGTAGTAGCCCCGAGAAGACCGCTCGGTTCAGGATCGCCGCGGGGTTCGGCGCCATCATGGCGAAGGAAGAGGATAACGGCGACGGCGACGGCGACGGCACGTCGCCAGGCGATGACGCCGGCGACGGAGACTGCGACGGTGGCCAAGGCGGAGGAAGGGCCGCGAATCCGTAGACGATCTGTCCGAGCGCCGCATTCGGCGCGAGGGCTTGCGCGATTGCCGCGGGGGGAAGTCCGCGAGCAGCCAGCTCGCGGCGGAGCGCGCACGGCTGATTCATGGCGGCGAAGAGAGGGTGAACACCAGGAGGGGATCGGACGGAGAAAACTCGAACCAGAAAAGTGGACGGAGAAAAGCGGAAGGGGCTGCAATTGGTCGGAGCTTATTGGTTGGTGTTCCAAGGGGGTTAGATTGTTCCAGCGGAGATCGCAAAGGGTCGAGTCGAGGACAGACGAGGAAGGGATCAGAGAATGGTAGAGAATAAGCGAACGACCCTGTCGGGGTCGTGCGTCTTAAGCTCGCCGGGTCTGGCTTTACTAGGCGGATCGTTGCCTGAAGCTGGTTGCCTTGGCTGTACTAGCCCCTCGGCCGGGCCGAAAGCCCGAAGCGGTCAAGGCTCTTGCACACTGGTTGTAAGTGGTTGCGAGCTCAGGTACGGTCAGGTGCGAAAATTGCACCCAAAATATCTCGGTCTGCGATGCGATGCTTTGCGGTGACGAGCGTTTCCGCAGCGTGAACTACGGTACAGATGGCGTCGCTACTTTTGCCGTGGTACAGTGGCAGCAGTGGCGTCGCTTCGCTACGCTGAAGATGGCAGTCGTGCCTGACTCTGAGTCGATTAGTCCCGCCAATCAGGGGACAGTCGTTGCTTCTTGAGAAAGCGACGGTGGATGTTGGCCTAATTCAGTGGCCTGTGCGGCCTGCGTGGTCGCAATAGAGTGTAGCTTAGCAGGTGATTGCCTGTAAATAGTAAATAGGCGAAGAAGCAGAGGAAAGCCACGCTATGGCTGCGATGGCTGCTTCGGATGCAAAGTCGCTGCAATCTGGAGATAGATCTCTCGCGACAAAAGCTGAACTGACGACCGCTGTATTGCAAACTGCTTTCTAATCAAAAGGACTCCCAACTTCTGCCGTGATTCGCGTGCGGTTTTCCTCACAAGAAGAACCAGCACTGCATAAGAGCAGCGACCTCCAATCCAACATGTCGAGCAATCGAGGAGGAATGTATGAACTGTACGCTATCTCTAGTCTAGAAGATAAGGTGGATTTCATACAAAAGGACACCAGGCCCATGCGTCAGACTCGCTACTAGCGAGTGACAGGCCACGCTCGCACGAGCCACCACTGGTGCTAGGTTGAGGCCACCGGTTGGAGCTCACCCACAGATCGCTTCGCTAGTTCCTAAAAGAGACCATCAGCATTCAGCACTGCTCATCCTGCTGCTGCCATTGCTGCCTGCTTCCTGAAAGCTGAAGCTGGTTTAGCTTTGTCGTTTCTAGCTCTTCCGTTTGCCACTTATGTCGTGGAGCTGGGCAAAACGCAGTGAGGGGCCATAGAATTCCGGAGCTCTTGAAAAACGCCGTTGGAAAATGACGGGGACAATGGCAGATCCACGTCCACCCACTGACTTCTGCCCCAGGCGGTTCCGTCTCCGTCAACGGTTGCCGCGATTGCGGCTGCCGAAAGAATGGTCCTCCTCGTCCACCTCAGTTCCATCAAGCTTCTTCTGCTTTGTGTGTTTGGTACACGTGTCATGTACCGTTTCTGTTGCGGTTCCACCATTATGAACAGTTTCGGGCATTTCCCGCAGAAACTGCCCGATGTTGCGTCAGGACTAGGACAAGAGGGCACAGGTAGCGCCAAGAATATGAAACGCTGATTAATCAGCCACCCCACCTTGTGCTGCTGGACCGCATCTGGCCAGTCAAGGGCTGGCTTCTCCGTTGAACATCAAGTTGGCATTCACAGAAAGTGTTTTGTACAAATCACAATGTTTCATTCAGTGTACACGACGGTGCTTTTGAGTAGATTTCCTGGGTTTCGCAGCACTGACCGCGAATGAACAAGGGGATCTGTAATTCTGTGCAAGGTTGTGGAGACCAGGGCTTACGCTAGAAGGGTAGCTACCCTAAATGTCGAAAATTAAGAGATTTCTAGACCCTGACTTCGGATTTTAACAGTCTGGGTTCTGCCGAATCTCTGAATTAGCCAAATTAATGAGTCTTGAAATTCGGATGCATTCCGTGACAGGTTTTCATAAAACCTGACGGACTAGTCTCGCAGCATGGCGTTCATCAAGGAGAAAATCCCTCCGCCACTGCGTGGAGAAAAATCTCCGTCACGAACATCAGGGTGATTTCGGGTTTGGGGCTTAGCGGCCCAAACATTAGACTAGAAGGCAGAAAAGCCCTTCCGCTTAGGCAGAGTAACTGTTCGGAAAACTTGGAAGGATTCCGAGTGAAAACACCTTGGATTCCGGAAACTTTTGGGTATGATTGGACCATAACTCAGCACCTTTCAAAACTCCCTGGGGGCGTAGCGTAAGCCCTGTGGAGACCGTTAGGCTGACTGAGTACGTCAACCCAAATGGGAAAACGACACGTCGAGTGGATTCGGAGTCGCGAGCCACATCAAATCATCCAGAAGGACCCACAGAGGCGGTGCAATTGGCATGCTTCGGCGAGCTAACAAGGAAAAATGCGGTGGAATGCTGCTGTGTCAACGAGGTGCATTATTCACCGCACTAGACCACCCAGTTACAGCATTTAGCCTGACCAAGCCGCCTCTCACCCCCTGGATCCCATTAGGTCAGTTCGGGTGGCGCCGCACTGCACTAAACATTAGTCCTGCGCTAATGATTCTGACAGTGGGCCTATTTAGAGCGTGTCCAAAGTGGGATGTCGACATAGACGGATGATGTCGAATGTCGACCATTGATTAAAAAGAATCGATGGTCAAAATCCCTCAACATTCCCCGACTTTTGTTGACTTCCCACTCTGGACATGCTCTTAGAGTACAAATGAAGGTGTCAGCCTAGAATGCATGAATTCAAGGGGTGTACCCTTCAAGTGCAGGCGTCGGTTTAGGAGGACACCCTTCCGCAAAGTGGGAAAACTCCGGCCCGGTTCTGCAGGCAGACGGAATTTCTGGCAGACTCGGAAGGGGGGAAGGTGGCGTCGAAATTTCGGGAAGTGGGTAGCAAGGTCCGGCTGCCAGGCGTGCTTCATCACAAAAACGTGAGGTCCCAAAACCCGCCCGAATCTGGCTGAGGCGAAAGCTGGAGGCGAATCTGCCCCAGGCAAGGACAAAAAGCCCAGGACACTGGCGTTAAAGCCCAGATCCCAAGTTGCAAGGCGCGATTTTTTTGCTAGCAATATCGCGGCACAAAAAGGTTGGTAGCCCCATGCATCCGGATGAAACTGAACAATGACACGATGGCTGTAAAAGGGGGCTCGTGATTGGTCGAAAGGCAAGCAAACACCTTCGCCCAAGCAGCCCAACCCCTGGCTCTCTCTCAGCTCAAATGGACAAGGGAAGGTTGCTATCAATTTTTGTAAATTGGGACCCAAGCGAGACCTAGTGACTAGAAATATAACGTCTGTGGACGGAACCCTAGAGTGTAGAAGCGCATTCCGCTGCGCCTCTGGGTAACCTCGTTTTGACCCAGTGGGTAGCGAGGCGTTATACTGGTATCAGAGCTTAGGGTTAGAGCCCCGGCTGGACACATTTTCCGCGCACGGCTGAGGTCGTGGCGAGAACTCGAATGTGTGAAAATACAGTTGCGGTTGTATCCAGTCGCGAACCCAGCGAACGATCCTGGTAACCGCTGTTCATCACCAGCGAAGTCGCTGACTTGGACCACCACTGAAACTCGAGGTCCTTGTGGGGGGCGACTCCCTGAGGCAACGAGGACGTTGGCGCCAGGGGGGGACGAGTGTAACGTCTGCGGACGGAACCCTAGAGTATAGAAACGCATTCCGCTGCGCCTCTGGGTAACCTCGTTTTGACTCAGTGGGTAGCGAAGCGTTATAAGAAACTAGCCAGCATACGAGGTTTCTCGCGCGCGTAGCCAAGCCTAGACGAAACTGCCCGCCATAAGGAATGATAGCGAAAATGCCGCATATCCCGCGACGACCGGCTAAGCAGTGCGAACCGCGCATAATTCATCCCGAGGGACGAAGTGACGCGGGAGTAGGGACGGAGAGACGCGATAGCTGGGACGGGGAGACGCGATAGCAGGGACGGAGAGACGCGACAGCATGGACGGAGTGACGCGACAGAACCTACCAAGTGACGCTATAGCACACAGTGGCTGAGGCGAAAGCTGGGAGGAAGCAGCGAGGGCAGGTGAGGGAGAGCGGGAGTGAGCGCGCGGGAGGGAGAGCGGAGTGACGCGGGAGGGAGCGCGGAGTGAGCACGGGAGGGAGAGCGGAGTGAGCGCCGGAGGGAGAGCGAAGCACGCGCGTGGGAGGGAGAGCGGAGTGAGCGTGCGGGAGGGAGAGCGGCATGAGCGCGCGGGAGGGAGAGGGGCGTGAGCACGCGGGAGGGAGAGCGGCGTCAGCGCGCGGGAGGGAGAGCGGCGTTAGCGCGCGGGAAGAGCGGCAAGATCGCGCGGGAGGGAGAGCAACGTGATCGCGCGGGGGGGAGCAGGGTGAGCGCGGGAGGGAGAGCAAGGGCAGGGGTGAGGGAGACGAGTGAGAGCAGGCGAGGGGGAGAGGCGGGAGAGCGAGGGAAGGGGAGAGGGGTGAGAGTGGAGAAAGGGGAGAGGAGAGAGAGCAGGGGAGAGGGAGAGGAGTGCGAGCATGCGAGGGAGATAGGAGTGAAAGCAGGGAGGGAGGGAGGGAGTGAGAGCAGGTGAGGGGAAGAGGAGTGAGGGCAGGGGCAGTTGGAGAGGAGTGAGAGCAGGTGAGGGGGGGAGGTGTGAGAGCAGGGGAAGGGAGAAGAGTGAGAGCAAGGGAAGTGGAGAGGAGTGAACGTTGGGACAGAGAAGATGAGAGAGAGCAGGGTAGGGGGAGAGAAGTGCGAGCAGGGGAGGGAGGGAGGAGAGAGGGCATGGGAGGGAGAGAGGGAGTGTGAGCAGGGGATGGGGAGAGGAGTGAGAGCAGGGGAGGGGGAGAGGAGTGAGAGCAGGGGAGGGGGAGAGGAGTGAGAGCAGGGGAGGGGGAGAGGAGTGAGAGCAGGGGAGGGATAGAGGAGTGCGAGGTGGGGAGGGAGAGAGGGATTGAGGGGGGTGGGGAGATGAGTGAACGGGAGGAAAGGGGATAGGAGAGAGAGCAGGGGAGGGGGAGAGGAGTGAGAGCAGGGGAGGGAGGGAGGAGTGAGGGCAGGGGAGGGAGAGAGGGAGTGTGAGCAGGGGATGGGGAGAGGAGTGAGGGCAGTGCAGTGGGAGAGGAGTGAGAGCAGGGGAGGGGGAGATAAGTGAGAGCAGGGGAGGGGGAGAGAAGTGAGAGCAGGGGAAGGGAGAAGAGTGAGAGCAGGGGAAGGGGAGAGGAGTGAACGTGGGCAAAGGGGAGAGGAGAGAGGGCAGGGGAGGGGGAGAGGAGTGCGAGCAGGGGAGGAAGGGAGGAGTGAGGGCAGGGGAGGGAGAGAGGGAGTGTGAGCAGGGGCTGGGGAGAGGAGTGACAGCAGGGGAGGGGGGGAGCTTTGCGAACAGGGGAGGGATAGAGGAGTGCGAGGTGGGGAGGGAGAGAGGGATTGAGAGGGGTGGGGAGATGAGTGAACGGGAGGAAAGGGGATAGGAGAGAGAGCAGGGGAGGGGGAGAGGAGTGAGAGCAGGGGAGGCAGGGAGGAGCGAGGGCAGGGGAGGGAGAGAGGGAGTGTGAGCAGGGGATGGGGAGAGGAGTGAGAGCAGGGGAGGGGGAGAGCTTTGCGAAAAGGGGAGGGATAGGGGAGTGCGAGGTGGGGAGGGAGAGAGGGATTGAGAGGGGTGGGGAGATGAGTGAACGGGAGGAAAGGGGATAGGAGAGAGAGCAGGGGAGGGGGAGAGGAGTGAGAGCAGGGGAGGGAGGGAGGAGTGAGAGCAGGGGAGGGAGAGAGGGAGTGTGAGCAGGGGATGGGGAGAGGAGTGAGGGAAGTGCAGTGGGAGAGGAGTGAGAGCAGGGGAGGGGGAGAGAATTGAGAGCAGGGGAAGGGAGAAGAGTGAGAGCAGGGGAAGGGGAGAGGAGTGAACGTGGGCAAAGGGGAGAGGAGAGAGGGCAGGGGAGGAAGAGAGGAGTGCGAGCAGG